ACTTCGTATAGCAAACATTCGAATGGTGAACCATTACGGGTGTGGGTACTTAGGACAGAACGCGACTTTTTCGCTCTTCGCAACGCGACATCGCGCGGCAGGCTGGCGCACCCGTAGCGAAAACAACTACGGTATATAAGAACGCGCGATTGGAGCAGCTTTTTTGCATGCGTGAATTTGTAAGTTTCTGATTCCTTACTTGCCCGCGCTCACACCCATTGTATTGATAAATGCGGTGAATCACTAATTCTGTCTCATTATTGAAAACGTTTTGTGACTTACACGATTCCGGGCGATGCCACTAAAATGGTGTTTTACGAATTATCGGTGAACGAGGGTTTAATAGGGTCGCTTGTGCTTGCATTTTGTGGGTTCATATTGTTGTATAGACTTCTGCATAAGGGTATAACATCTTTTACGAAACGCTTCTGTCCTCATTACGGATATGATACTCATTTTGGACGCTGGCGCCATTTGGGGCCAGGTGGCGCCACAACTGTTTCCCACTAAATTCGTTGTTAAACTTTGTAAGTCCCTGTGGTACACACTCAACTTTTTGCCACACGGTGCGTGGTTTACCCACTCCGGAGTTTCACTCCCCTCCCCTATGCTTAGTCGTAGGCGCTGTAGGTGAGAAAGCTTAGTAAAGCAGAAAGTATGCGTTAAACAGCACGAATGTGAAAAATGAGTGTCATATTCATGATCAGGGCCCCAAATAACCCCTATGCAGAAGTTTACAGTCGTCTCATCAAACGTCCATCAACCATTCCTCTTCCAGGTTCTCCAGAAGCTCTACCATCCATCTCTGCAAAAATAACCTACCTCCCTCTTCACTGCTAGTTAGCGGTCCACTTCTGGTTACCATTTCCTCGTTCATTATCAAATCCATGGCTATTAAGCTTCAAACTCCTTGTCGCAATCAAAGCCGACACAAATATCGCGCTCCAATCGCGCGTTCTTATATACCGTAGTTGTTTTCGCTACGGGTGCGCCAGCCTGCCGCGCGATGTCGCGTTGCGAAGAGCGAAAAAGTCGCGTTCTGTCCTAAGTACCCACACCCTTTTACATGCCTTTAGCATACTCCAATTTTCACTCACCTCGGTCATCAACAAATGCGATCCCCTCGTTCGAATAGTGCGAACGAACGGTTGACACTGGTCGGGAGGAGGGTCAAACACGGATGCTCGCGGGGACTTGTCTCCAGTAGGTGAATGGGATAGGGAAACGCTGGAAGAGAACACGAGTTTGAACCGTCCGAGCAAAACCACAGCGATTCTCTCCTATGAACTGCGGAGAAAATGGGATCAAATTGATTTTTATGAGGTAAGCTAAAGAAGTTCTTTCTAACCAGGAAGGTCTTTCAGGGCGTGACGAGCTTTTTGAAAACGGTCTTTTGCATGATATAGGGGCAGATGCGGGAACCACAGAACCATGTTCAATTTTTCCTGAACGGCCTCTGAATACCAGAAAAGGAGGTCCCTAGTTCGATTCCTCGTGGTAACAAATTTTTGCATTTCGAGTTGACGTGCCAAAATTCGCGCAAAATGGAGTTAGAACCAACCAGAACAATCAGAACTCCATTTTGCGCGAATTTTGGAACGTCAACTCGAAATGCAAAAATTTGTCACCAAGAGGAATCGAACTAGGGACCCCCTTTTCTGGTATTCAGAGGGCCGTTCAGGAAAAATTAAACATGGTTCTGTGGTCCCCGCATCTGCCCCTATATCATGCAAAAGACCGTTTTCAAAAAGCTCGTCACGCCCTGAAAGACCTTCCTGGTAAGTCCACTTTATTATGCAGGTGTTTATATAGTTACCAGTTGCAGCAGAATGACTAAACCGCGAATGTATCCATGAGAATGTAACACATACATGAAGAAAACAAAATAACGCTTTATAACGAAACAATAACAAATCACTCGTCATCTCCCGATGCTTCACTCCTTCCGCCTTCTTCATGTTACGTCTCTTTACTCGTCCTGGTCGGCCACCACCGAAGGGCGATTTCAGTGAAAAGTCGATGTGTTTTTGCGAATCCAAACGAACGATGAATGAAGGCACATCCACAACTTGACGTCGCACACTGAAACAAAGTGTGCTTCTTAGTAATGAAATAAGAGCATTAGAATGTTGAAGAAACAGGCTTCAACTTCTCCAAAAAAAATCTGAAGGATCCAGCTCCTAGAGGCAAACTTTGCCACATAGTTTGGCGGATATGGATGAGAGAAATGACCCCATGAATCATGCACTATTATTCTCCTCAAAAACCTGCGGATTGCTAATCTGCCACAGGGGCTCGTTGGATTTCTGTGATTCATAATAACTAGTGCCACACGTCACTGGTTGATTTGCGTCCTTCCTTCCTGACAGTCAAAGTACGTAATCAAGAGAATAGGGGGTTCAAGCAGCAGACAGTCGCCACACGATCAATGTCGGGTCTCACAGCAAAATCCTGCTTCCCTCTACCTCGGCATAGGGAAGGATGGCAGGAGGGAGGGACGGCCTCCCTGAGAGGAAGCAATTCGTTTTGGCATAGCTCAGCAGTGCCATTCCATAACCACAACCTGTTTTTTAGGGCATAGAAATGGGAGGAAGGGCGAGGTGTGCGTCAGGCAAGGTAACCTTCCTATAAGGGACGAGAAAATCCTCAGAATTTCTATAGGAAATCGTTTCTTCACTTTAGACCTTTACTCTTGCAAGCAAACATGCTTTACGAGCACACTTTTTGTAAGGGAACTCGAGAAAACGAATAGGAAATTAAGGTTTCTTCTAGCTACCTCTGTTGATGAATACGACTGCGTATGTGCTCCCGCCGCTTACTCCTACATGTTATTTACACATGTCTTTGGACAATGGTTCGCACGCCAGTAATTAATTTTTGCTTTAAAATTTCAGAAAAATCAAAATTTTGAAATAGGGATATAAAAAACAATGATGAGGAGGAATAATAATTTTTAATCTAGCATAAATAACCGCAAGTTTAGAGAATGGTTGTAGGAAAACAAACAACATCCACGATGCTTATTCTTTCATACAATCACAACAAGATCCCGCTTCTCGTAGAACAATTCAGTACGAAGTTCTTATCAATTTTAAAGGAATCTTCCACGGACCATGGACCAGTGGGCGGGACCGGAAGTGGTTTTGCGACGAAATGCATGGTAGGTACGGATCCACGTTCATGGGAAGGTTTGAAGTGAATCCTGTTCACGTTCGTGCGTTCGACACGTGGATCCGTACCTACCATGCGATTTCTACTACAATGTCGATAATGGCCGATGTCAGAGTCTGCGATTGGAGCGATCGGTCAAATGCCAATCGCGCGACCATCGCGCGATTCGCGCGACGATCGCGCGATTGACATGAGTCCCATCATGACCAATCGCTCCAATCGCGCGATGGGCGCGATCACTCCCGTTGTGGCTGGCGCGCCCCTCTCGATCGATACGTTGACTGAGCTATCGATCGAGAGGGGCGCGCCAGCCACAACGGGAGTGATCGCGCCCATCGCGCGATTGGAGCGATTGGTCATGATGGGACTCATGTCAATCGCGCGATCGTCGCGCGAATCGCGCGATGGTCGCGCGATTGGCATTTGACCGATCGCTCCAATCGCAGACTCTGACATCGGCCAATGAGGTCACGCCGCTCACGCGGCGAGAATCGTCGCGTGCGGCAGTTGCTGCGGCGATTTCTGTGTGGACCTTTTCTTATCCATCCATGCTCATAAGTTGGCTAGGTGACTGATAACACCAGAGTGCTGGACATCAGTAAGCCAGCAAGCGTCACTGTAAGATCCCTGCAGTGATTTAAGCCTCGCAGTACAAACTGTACCGTGTAAAGGTTGTCCTTTTGGATTTAATTTGACTTCTTTATTAATCAGTTTCCTGAATTTCTATCAGAGAGTGATAATCTGGTTCAATCGGAAAGAATATTGCGTATCAAGACACAGAGTAGCGGCGAGGAAGGCTCAAACATAAGCATGATATGATAAGTATGTAATAACGGCGAGCGAAAACGAAACTGCATTTTAAAGGTTTAAGTGGTTCTTATTTCATGTTTCATGACGGGAAACATGATCTGATCGTACATTCCCCAATGCTTGGATGCTGAGTTCTTTGCAAATTCGCCGCGATATTGCTGGCTGCGGCGGCCCGCGCGGCGACCTACTTACTGCCACGATTGTATAGTCACGCACCCTTATTTTACCCATGGCATTTGTCACAAAATTTTCGGTTCCGTCATGGTGCATGGTCCTGTGAGTTGCCTTTACGGAATTTGTCGCAGCGCAGAAAAGTGAGCAATCGTTTAGCATTTGTGAACGTTGGCAACAACGACCCAATTGGAAGCTTCGGATTTCAACAAAACGTGGTACCATTGATCAAAAGAAACAGTTATACTTTCAAATGGCGGTTTCTCACAAATAAATTAAAGGAAAGCATTGCTGGGAATATCTTGGAATGTTCCCTCTTGTAAGCATAACGGAAATACATACAAACTAAATTAAGTATCAAGAGAACACCCATATAAGCTTCACACGTCACGAAAATGATTTAGTGATGCGCTGGTACAGGCATTTACTAGAGAAAGAACCACCAAGAATTGTGGAGATGTAAAAGTAAAACTGATTGAAGAAAATAGATAGTAAGACTTCTACATCACTTCCGAAGGCGATATTATTGGCATAAGAGCATAAAAAAATCAAAGAAAACGAACCGGATATGACTGTGTCTGATGAGGACACGTGCATGGTGAATCGACTTCGCCAATCCAAGCTTGAAAACCTGAGTCTGCAGACGTCTCTCGAGGAAGTCCTCCACACGTAGACCAAGGATGTAATCGAGTTTCATACGGTCCTCTGGGAGTACTCCAATGCGCACAAGACGGCGCAAAAGAGCGTTTCCTTCGAACAGTCTTTTGGGATCCTTCTCTTCCAAAGTGAGCAGTTCACGAGCAGCCTTACGGACTTTAGCCAAAGTGTACTTCACCCGCCACACCTCACGCTTGTTCTTGAGACCGAACTCACCAATGAGTTTCAGCTCCTGAAAATTAACTTTGAGAGACAAACCTTTGCAAACAAACACTAACTAATGGCAAAGTGGCCCTGTTTACCCTCTGCTTTATTTAGATCTGAGAAAACATAATTTCTTGACCAAACTCGCTGACAGTCTCTAGGAATGGCAAAATAAAAACGTTTGTCTAAGGAAGTAACTTAGAGAACAACGGCGATTCCTTTTTGATTATTTGGTATACATAAGGTTTTTCTTTCTCAATTGATCGGGGTCACTTTATGGAGGGCCGAAAAATGGAACAAAAAACATGCAACTTCTGTAACGAATTCAAATTTCCAGCGGCAACAAACTAGAATCGGAAAGTGCTAAAATTGCCAAGAATTCGAGAAAGGAAATGACCCACTTAATAATGTCACATTTCCCTTCGTGCAAAGACAACTCCTACACAGAAAGGCTGAAAGCTTGTAGAAAGAATGCTTGATTCACCAACAACCACCATTTACACGCAAACATTATCCACATTTTGTCGAGTAATAATGCAAATTTCAGCAGTTTTAATGAGTAAAGGGATTGAGCTCGGGACCTGGAGCGTACACCAAGTGCCTTCACTGGAGACGATCAGTTCTCTTTCTAGGTCTAACTGCCCGATAGCTGATATACAAGCCTAGGGTTATGCTCAAGTCTAGGCTTAGGCTTATGTTTACACATAGGTACGTGTTTAAGCCTATGACTGGGCCTGGACATCGTCATAGGCTTGCTTGGACAAACGAGAGGCGTCTTAAATGTTACCCCTTTGACGACCGTGTGGCCCGCCGGTGGGCCACACTTTCGCTCGGTGGCGACACGTTTTTAGGGGTTTATTTTGGCATTTTTTATGTTTCAAAACTACACAAATACATCATCGAATTCGCGGAATAATGCGCTAATTACTAATAGTGAAATTGTTGGAGAGTTAATGATTATTGATGAAAAAATTTAGAAAGAAGTGAAGTGACGCATTCATAACGGCGGTCGTCAAAGGGTTAATTTAGATGACCTGAACTGATGAAGGAGAACGAAACGCGCCCCTTCATTAGCACCAAGTAAATGCGATATGCAGGCTCTGCAAAGCCAAAATACCCTTTGGAGGAAAGTTTATTAAGATCCACACTTGAGGAGGAAATAGAAAAAAATGTAGCCAAACACGGAAGAGGGGATTGAAGGAAAAACAAGCTTCTACGCTCCGATTTCCCTTGCTTTGACTACGTGCTTGTTCATCTCCACAAAACTTTTATAGAATGCCCAACTAGAACTTGCAGGACAATTTCGATGCGTACGTGAAATAAAGCAATTGAAATGAAATAAAATCCTAAACACAAAAAACAAGCAGTGCCAAACCATGTCTGACTGAGCAGTTATTTTATTATTTTATGTTACAGAGGCTGATATACTTCGTGCAAAAATTAACGTCAAAATAGCTTGGTTAAAAACAATTATTTATATTGAAAGACTGTTTAACTACATTTCGCAATGAGAAGCTTAAAAGACCAGGGTCCGAGCTCCGAAGCAACGCGTAGAAGGGGCAAATGAGAGAAGTGAAGGTTAAGATTAAGATCTAGGCCTGTGTGAAGTCACTGCATTTCTAGGTCTATCCAAGCTAACGAAACAATAGAAAGGTAGCTTTAAAAAAGGGGAAACCAACTAGGACCTGCTCCATTACCATTAATGCATTACGACAAGGCCAAAGAGAGAGCACCATGCACCACGATGAGCGAGCTTGAAGAATTTCAGCTGGCAGCTACATTTACAGATACGCCCGGTACCCACCGACGCCTATTAATTGACTGAAGTTTCTTCAGATGCTCAAAGTGAAATATCGCTGCAATCAAGCTTCAAGTTTCAGTCATACATACTTACAAGACCCCGAAAATAACCTGTCCGTGCTAGTGATAATACGCAACCGGCATTTATTCAACATACCTCTGATACTATTAAGTTCAAGTGACTGATCGTGAGTGAATATACTCGTATGGATTTGAGAATTGCATAGTAGATTTATCTAACTTACAAGGTCGTTCAGGGTGTGCCAAGCTTTTTCAAAACGGTCTTTTGCATGATATAGGGGCACATGCGGGAACCACAGAACCATGGTTAATTTTTCCTGAACGGCCCTCTGAATACCAGAAAAGGGGGGTCCTCACACCTTTTTCACCAGTTTTTCAATCAAAGTCTATTTGTAAGGGTTACTGACGGTCCTAATCATGAATATGGTACTAATTATTCATGCTAACTCCATTTTGCGCGAATTTTGAAACGTCAACTCGAAATGCAAAAATTTGTCACCACGAGGAATCGAACTAGGGACCCCTTTTCTGGTATTCAGAGCCGTTCAGGAAATGAACGGTCCATAAGTGCCCCAATGTCATGCAAGAAAACATTTTGAAAAAGCTTGGCACACCTTGAACGACCTCC